ACGTTCGAATAATTTTATTCACGCACAATCACGTTTTTTTGTCGTAATTATGTACTTAATCAAACCGAAACACCCTGTATGATATAATATTTGTTCGTCCTGTTAATCGTTTGTTTCCACTTTGCACTAATAATTACAAATTAGACCTAACTACGCACGCATAACACGACGAATGTTGGCAAACAAAATAACAAAATTATAAATCCCCACTTTTTTTCATTCATTTTAGACAAGACACTTTTTAATGTAGCCGTCAAACGGTTCCGAAAAGCTAACTTTACCGCGGCGGTTTTTTTATTCACTAGCAGGATACCGCTATAGCAATTGTAGGTAGGAAATTAAAGGAGTTTTGATCTGCTGCCGCGTGAACCCCTGGCAGTTCAAAAGAAAATGCCGCTGTTAAAAATTTACAAAAGAATATTTGAAAAATCTGACTTAAATATTTTCTAAAAAGACTTAAATCTTTTTCCAAAAGACTTGTATCTTTTTAAATTATTTAAATAATTTACCGACTTTTTTGACTTAAATCGTTTCTATCTGACTTAAATCGTATGTACTGATTTAAGCCTTTTTTTAATGACTTAAGTTTTTTCTATTTTGAAAAAATATTTAAGTCACAAATCATTTTGAAAATTACTTAAATTTTAAGTCTTAAGTCAGTTTTAGAGAAATGACTTATTACCAAATGACTTAAGTCATTAAAACGATTTAAATCAAAAAAACGATTTAAGTTTTCTGAGAGCTTGCAGCTCTGCATAAATATTATAAAAACTAAATATAAACAAATACAATAAATACTCTTAACTTAAAAAAAAATCATCAACACAGCAATCACATCTGTTTACAAGATATGCTTTTAAAGAAGGTTTAAATTCCTTTAAATTTCGGTCTTTAATTGTTTTTGGTAATTTATTATATAGAACCAGAGCAAAGTTTTGTATCCTCTTGTAAACAGTGTGGATCCTGGTTTGAGTAAAGTGCCAAATCTTTTTTTCTAGTAAAATATGAATGTTCTCTACTAGTGTTATTAAAAAGAAATTAAAGTTTCATATATATAAATATCTGGACTCATTAAATTCCAACTTATAATTTTTTTTTTAGGTAAACAAATTTTTGGTATGGGATGAATTCCCCCAAAAAATTATTCCATATTTTAAATTTGAATAAACAAAAGCATAATATATATTTAATAGTGCCACTTTTGGAACAATAAATCTTAAATTAAGGAGTAAGTAAAGATACTTATTGATTTTCTTTAAAACATCTGTTTGATTTTTTCATAACAATTTATTGTCCAAAGTAACGCCTAAAAATTCAATTGAGGTACTTAACTCTATACTACATATATTATTAATATTAATTTTGCTATTCGTAAACCCATAATTTGAAATTATTAATTTCCAAACTTAATATACTGTGTTTTGCCTACATTTAACTTGAGGCCGTTGTCTTAAAACCACTGAAATATATTTTCTTGTGTTAAAACAATATTAGATATATAATAATATATTGTGGAAGATTTAAAAATTGCAGTAGTATCATCTGCATACATAAAAATATTATCATGACATTGAGGCAAATCATTTACATATAAGATAAACAGAAGAGGGCCAAGAATTGAACCCTGGGGAACTTCTTTTTTTAACGGCCATAGTAGAAAAATACATTTGTTAACCTTAAATGTCCTATTGGAATTTATTGCATAATAACTCTATTTAAGTTTCTGGATTAACATCGTGGAATAAGCGTCATAACTTGCTACAACATATGCAATGATAGTTGCATATGTACTTACTTACACAGGTAATCATCAATCTCGCTTGCATTCACGTAAACCTTGTGATATATAAATATGAGAAATCATTGTCCTAATCGACCATTAGTCATTGGTCCCCATGCAGAAAGGTACAAGGCAAAGTTAGTGGTAGAAGAGGCTTTGTTAGGGCCACCCTAACCACTCCGTGCGTTAAATTCCGACCAAAATTATGTCGGCCACGAAATGAGTGTCGTGAATCAAAAGACGATCACTTTTTGTCATGTTTACTTTTGTATGGAATGTAATTAAAAAAAATATATCTAGGTATTCCTACTCACGTTGAAAACAAGGCTGGATGCTCCCGTGTACGAGTTTTGGTTCGTCTCGCGCATGACGTCACTTGATGAGTAGTTGCACAATTTTTTATTATTAAGGAAAATTGAGGAGTAGTGTGGAATAGCTGTTTTCAGATTTTTTTACGGTTTTTTAATGGTTTCTTTCACATTTGATACTCTTTTTCAAACGGCACCAATTTTTAACGGAGTCACAATAAAAGTTAGTAATAGAATAAATATTTTGTAACACATTATAGAATTTAGGTAACGTACTCTACATTAAAAAGTGATATTATAACGGTCATAGTAGAAAAATACATTTGTTAACCTTAAATGTCCTATTGGAATTGCATAATAACTCTATTTAAGTTTCTGGATTAACATCCTGGAAGAAGCGTCATAACTTGCTACAACATATGCAATGATAGTTGCATATGTACTTACTTACACAGGTAATCATCAATCTCGCTTGCATTCACGTAAACCTTGTGATATATAAATATGAGAAATCATTGTCCTAATCGACCATTAGTCATTGGTCCCCATGCAGAAAGGTACAAGGCAAAGTTAGTGGGAGAAGAGGCTTTGTTAGGCCCACCCTAACCACTCCGTGCGTTAAATTCCGACCAAAATTATGTCGGCCACGAAATGAGTGTCGTGAATCAAAAGACGATCACGTTTTGTCATGTTTACTTTTGTATGGAATGTAATTAAAAAAAATATATCTAGGTATTCCTACTCACGTTGAAAACAAGGCTGGATGCTCCCGTGTACGAGTTTTGGTTCGTCTCGCGCATGACGTCACTTGATGAGTAGTTGCACAATTTTTTATTATTAAGGAAAATTGAGGAGTAGTGTGGAATAGCTGTTTTCAGATTTTTTTACGGTTTTTTAATGGTTTCTTTCACATTTGATACTCTTTTTCAAACGGCACCAATTTTTAACGGAGTCACAATAAAAGTTAGTAATAGAATAAATATTTTGTAACACATTATAGAATTTAGGTAACGTACTATCGCTAACAAAAAAAACTCATACAGCTATATTGTGGCTGTGTGAATAAAACTTTTCCGTCAATGTCAAGCTGACATCGAGCTTTGTCACATCCATTATGACTTTTTTAACAACATTTTCAACCAAACAATGCAGACGAACTCTGGCAAGCCATTGAAGCCATTAGGAACGAGATAAAGCAAGACGGCGACTTCCATGCTTTGCCGTTTGCGGGCAGTAATTGACAAAAACAGAGGGATGACGAAATATTATTTTTTTTTCAAACTTTAACCTAACTTTGTATTTAATTTTAGACCTTTCAAATGTGACGTATCATGTTAAAAGCCATAATTACTCCAACGAAATGATAGAAAATCAGGAACACTAGATTTTTAAGCTGTATGAGTTTTTTTTGTTAGCGATAGTACTCTACATTAAAAAGTGATATTATAACGGTCATAGTAGAAAAATACATTTGTTAACCTTAAATGTCCTATTGGAATTGCATAATAACTCTATTTAAGTTTCTGGATTAACATCCTGGAAGAAGCGTCATAACTTGCTACAACATATGCAATGATAGTTGCATATGTACTTACTTACACAGGTAATCATCAATCTCGCTTGCATTCACGTAAACCTTGTGATATATAAATATGAGAAATCATTGTCCTAATCGACCATTAGTCATTGGTCCCCATGCAGAAAGGTACAAGGCAAAGTTAGTGGGAGAAGAGGCTTTGTTAGGCCCACCCTAACCACTCCGTGCGTTAAATTCCGACCAAAATTATGTCGGCCACGAAATGAGTGTCGTGAATCAATAGACGATCACGTTTTGTCATGTTTACTTTTGTATGGAATGTAATTAAACAAAATATATCTATTCCTACTCACGTTGAAAATAATACCGGCTGATATTTTTTTAATAACAAAATTATTAATCAACCCTTGTCAAAGGTTTCCGTGCTTTTAGTGTTGCCCATAGATAACAAAGCCAGTGCCCAGTGCTTTTGTACTGTCAGTAAGTAAGTATGTATGTATGTATCTTGCTGTCAGTGCTACTTTCATAGTTTCAGTACGTTTTGCGAAATTCCCTTCTTCAAATTTGCCAAAATATAAAGGTTCTCTTATCATCGTAAAAATGAAAGTAAAGTAAAATAATTTCTTCCATTGTTTGATAAATCTATCTATATAGATATATTTTCAAAATGTGTGTGTGCCTGGCACACTGTGCCACTTTAACGGCTAGATTAAGACTTATTTTTTTTTTACTTTTTGTTGCAGTTTGTAAATTTAATGTTGTAAAATATGTAATTATTATCATACGTCTGGTTATGAATGGTCTATGCTGCTATTTTTAGCTAAAGTTGTTTTTGTACTGGGCCTTTACAAGAATGTTTTGCTAAAAATGTTGTCAAAAGATTTAGTTTCATTGCTGAGGACTGGCCTAAAATTATTATAGAAACAACACATCTTGTTTTTTTTTGCTTGTCCCATTAGTAATCATGCAATCGCCCAAGTGTTAGGTATACCGTTTAACCATTCAACGGTTATACAAAGAATATTAATTGTTAAATTTAAACATACATATGTATATCTTTTAAATTTAAATTTTTAAATTGCTATTTTTTCAAATTGACTATACCTAACTATGATTATTACGAACAAAATTCCCCAATTAATTAAAATTGTAAATTTTTCCTTACACTTCATAAATGTGGTAGTGTTTTTTGGACCATAAAATAAAACATTTAAAATTTAGGTACTTATTTATTTAACTTTAGAACATATAACAGTTATTCGCTTAAACCTACAACTATTATCACTCATTCAAAACTCATAACAAAATTAAATGTATCAAATGTAATGGTTTTATATACAAAAATATAACAGCTTCATAAACAAATATTTGAATCTTAACTGTCTTTAACTTTAATGCCACTATCCTCAGTTGGCACTTGTAACGTATTATTATCATGTACTTCCGGCATTTCGACGCCTTCCGGTGGTATGGTGCAAACACTTCCGTCCTCGTCGACGGTCAACCCCATGGTGGCGCCAATTTTCACAGAGGCCTGCTTAAAAGTGTTGGTCAATTTAACCTGGACAACGTTGATGCACATGGACATTAACGCAAGTCCAAAAACTAAGTAAACAATGGAAACAATCATGCAAATAGGATGCCTTGGAACGAAATCTCCGAAGCCAATGGTAGACATTGATATGAAAACAAAATAAAACGAGGCAAAGAAATCCCAGTGCTCCCAGGCGCAATATATTAAAGCTCCCAAAAATATGTAGAGAAGAAGTATAAATATGGCCACTGATATGGGCAAATTAAATTCGTCGTCGATTTCATAGTTGGAAAGTGCTGGAGTCGTGGGTGTTTCGTCTGGATGGCTCCCCGGAGATCCCACTTGAAACGCAATCGGATTTTCTGGATCCACAACTTGTGATGAGCGACGGAACGTTGCAATATCGTACATCATTTGGGCTCCTTTGAAGATTTCCTACAACGAAAGAACTATATTAATATGTGCAATGTTAGTTGCATGACAGCTTTATCTAATCTATGATGACAGCACAGGTAATCATCAATCTCGCTAGTGTTTACGTAAATTATATTCTATATAAAATGAGACGAATTGATTCGAATTTGACCATTAGTCATTGGTCCCCAGGCAGAAAAGTTCTGGGCAAAGTTAGTGGTCAAATAAGAGGCCTTAAGGCCCACCCTAACCACTCCCGTGCGAATTCGACCAACCAGAGTCGGCCACGAAAGAGAGTGTCGTGAACCTAATGAGATGGTCACGTTTTGCGAGAGTTCCTTCTGCTTGGAATTTAATTAAACAAAATTTGAGATAACGTGATACAGACTGAATCAGTGATTTTTAAGCCTTAATAATGTTAACTTAACCGTTAAATTAACATCATTGACGTGACTAAAGGCTTTAATCAAAATGTAAAACAATTAAAATGGAATCTTTTAAACATTTTTTTAAAGATTCCAAAAATTCCACCGCTATATCCGCAAACCTAATACCAAAAAGGCTATTTATGATTGTCAGATTTTAACGAAAACAAATTAATAACTCGAAAACTATTCACCTTAGGTATAGGACATGGTATTGTAATTTTACAATTTTAGAATTATATACAGAATTTAAAAATATAAAAATGTAGATAGCATGGTGTAAATCGTGGTTGCTTATGAGCAATGTATTTAAATTTTGATTTATATCCCTCCACCACTGCACGCAGAGTCAGTGAGTTTTGTTGTATCACTGAGTTTAATTGTTTTTTGAATCATGTTTTTAGATTTGTTATTTTCTAGACATGACCGATTTAATTATGGTATTTTCTTGTGTGCTATAGCACACTTATAAGAAAGAGTTTTGTTTGACATTATTGTCTTAAGAAGACTACCTGGCCGTCCGGGGAAAACGGGTAGTTTTGTTTGTGGACGGAACATATGGGGTGTTTCATTTAAAATAACAAAGTTGAAAAATAGAATTAAAGGAATTATAATCGCTTTTAAAATTTCAGTTTCTTTTTTCGTCCCCCAGAAACTTCAAATGGACCATGTATGTGAAACACCTTGTATAGTCGCGGACAAATGTGCATGGGTACACTTTGAACTGTAACATTACTGTATGCCCCTACACTAATCTAGGTGTATGCCGTTAAAATTTCCTTTTAAGGCGTAATTCTGATGTGCTTTAAATTAATTTAAAATAAAAAAATTTTATGCATATTGTTTACCAAGAACTGTAAAGATTTCCATGCTTTTTAAACATTTTTTACGAAATTTTGAAAACAAAACCATTCACTTAGTAAAGTTTTGTGTGTGCCACCATTTAATATTATTAGGCATCGTGCTCATGCATTGTTTCTTGCAGATTATCATACAGGGTTTCCAAGAAATCGCGCACCACCTTAAAGGTGTTTGATCTACGGACCCCAGGAATCCCTGAAAATTGTTAAAAATATATACACTCGGTTGCACGGAAATCGACTACACGAAAAAAAGTCAAGTGGCCGTTTTTCAACTTTATTTTATAGTGTAAAGAATACTTTTATAAATCAAGGTTATAACCTATAGGTATGTCTTTGTAGCATGGTTATGATAAAAAGTCACTTTATATTATTATATGTCACATTGAAATAAATTTGTCATTGATTTAAAAATTATAAAGAGATTTTATATAATTTTTGACATTAAAATTGTTCAGATTAAGAAAGCAAAATAAATAATAAAGCAGTAAGGAAACAAGCAAAAGAAGAAACAAGAATGAAGAAAAAGTAATAAAGAAGTAATAAAAAACTTATCCCAGGAGCCTATAACACAAACACTACAAGTCAAACAAGTGTATAAATACTTTATACAAATGTAGTTATTCTGGAAAGGTGGGTGAATTTTGTGCACCCGCGATAGCACTTTAAAACTCCCTCGTTTTTTTTCGTTACCAGTGCCCCATTGATAACTAAAAATTACAGAATATCTCCTTGCATAATTTATTTGTACACTTGTTGGACTTGTAGTATTTGTGTATAGGCCCCAGATCATGAACTGGCCAAATAAAATGTAATATGTAAATATATGTATATAAATTTATTCGAAAATAAATACAAATTTAAATATTCCCGCACGAATTCGAAATTTACATGCGAGAATATAACATTCTTATATTAAAATCGATAAATATAATTAATATTTTGTCATCGCACCGTCTCTTTGTATGACTTCATTTAATCTTCGAGGCATGGAATGAACAAGACCTAAAAATATGTTGGCTGTTATGCAATGCTTCCCATGCATCAGTAATTGTATTCCACAGTTGCTCCGCATTTTGAGGCCGGAAATTTCTTTTATAAATTGACTTGACCAGCAACCCCCCCACATTCTCTATTGGGTTTAAATCTGGGCTGTATGCAGGCCAAGGTAATAATCCCATATTATTAGTTTGAAACCACTCCCTTACAACTATCGCACTATGGACGGGGCAGTTATCCTGTTGAAATATAAAATTCTCGCCATCCAAAATGTCGAGGTATGTTTCTCTATTAAAACGAGCTTCAATTCTCCAACAAACACCAGGTCCACGGATACACATCCAAGCCCAGACATTTACAGAAAAACGGCCAGATCTGTTTGGGGGTGCTACATATCTTTCATCAAATCTAGAATTTTTTGGTCTATAAACTCGAAGACGACCATCATTGCCTGATTGAAAAGTTTTCTCGTCTGAAAATACTACTCTTTCCCAAAACTCAATTGGTCGATATATGTAGTTTAAACAGAAGATTATTCGTGCCTGTTTTTGTTTCTCTGTCAGTATTTGTTTTTTAGCACTGGCCATATTTTTAATATCTGAAGCCTTTATTCTTCCACAGGCTGTACTCCATGAGCCTGGGAAATTAGTCTGAGCAACGGCTTTGCTGGCAGTTTCAAATGGATCTGCTCTTAAAAAAATTAAAAGAACCTCGTCTTCTTCCGGTGTTGATATCTTATGCCCTCCAGAACCAACTTTTCTACTTACAGTGCCCTCCTGCTTCCACCTCTTTTTTACTCGAAATACGATACTTGCCGAAATTTGTAACTGGTTTGCCAGTATCCTAATAGACCAGCCTTCGTCAAGTTTAGCAATTATATACACTTTTTGTTGTTCGGAAAGTTTTGGCATTATTTTACCAAATTAATTTGACAACAAACAACAAAGTGTCATCCAGAAAAGACACATTTACACAGTTAAAAATTAGGTGTATTCGATTTCCGTGCAACCGAGTGTACAGGGGATACATATTTTTTTAAATGGCAACATTGCGTACTATCAAATTGGTAGATTTATTCTTAATAATCATGACAAAAAAAGTGTAAAATTCCTTAGTTACTTTCAGTCACGTTCTAACGCCGAATTCTAATGGATTTCGTAAACACATTAGAATATACACTAAAAGTCACGTTTCACAACACGTTAGCACCTACCTCCATATCTCTGGTTAGCACAGAATATTCACTTCTCACAAATTAACAAGAATAGTTGGGAGCAACTAAGCTGCTTAGACTGTCTAAGCACCAACAAGAATAAGATAACAAAAACAACTGAATTAATACCAAGTGCAGGAACAATCCGACTTGGACACGGACACAGACAATAACGACCAAAACGTAGACCACGACTAGCAATCGGCCCCTGCAGCAAAATAACAACTTCCCAACTCCAAACAGTAATCCCAAATGTTTGGAGTAATACTATCGGCCTGGTCTAGGGGGATACCGCGTCGTACTTAGATTTGGCTATAATTGGCCCCCAAACACCAAAATGTCAATCCCTCCCGTCCTACCTCATTCATGACCCTACTGGGCGTATAGCAACGGCCCGGCGAATTCTGGAAAGGCTATTTAAACTATTGGCATTTTGCTCTCGAGCCCTAAATAGGGGTGAAGCCGTTCTGTTGCTGGTGTCGAAAGAAAATCTATATAATTCGAAGAATACTACTAGAATATATTTAAGGTATTTTTAAGTTTAAAACTCAATGTTTGAGCTCTCATTACTTTTTAAATATGAAGGTAATTTTTTAACCACCGTCAAGGTGGTTCCTGACTTCTGGGGCACCCTGTATATATTTTTATACATTGTGTTTATCATATTATACCACTGACACCTCACTTGTGTAGTAACGCGAAGTTAATGACTTTCGAGAACATTGCGCCCTTAATAATAAATTTGGGAAAAGAATCAGACTCCGAATCTTACGACGTGTTTTGTACATACATATGTATGTATGTATGTATGTAATAAAAATGTAATAAACTTTGTTTGTTTCTTTTCTCAATATACCGTTCTCAATTAACGGTATATTCCTGGAAGATGCATCCATGGAATGGAATATTATTCTATTCCATCTTAATAAACAACTCCTACTGCTATAATGGACAACCCACAATACACAAGCGTTGGATTAAATTGTGAACGTATAAATAGCCTTAACGCTGCCGTTGATGACGTGCAGATGACATGCATATGACATGCAGATGACGTGCATATGACATGCAGATTTGGCCGCGACTATAGATATACTGGACAAAATGTAATAGTTTTTTACTGCTGCCAAAATATGTAACCCATCAATTTTTATAAAGCAGTATTTTTCTGACAAACGTAATATTATACTGTACAGTGACAAAATGAATTAAATAATGTAGCATTTATAACAACCCTAATATAAACCATTTTTAGTTTTATTAAAAAATAATATTTATTTTACCTGTACTTGTGCAGTTTTTCTCATACTTCGACAGCTACCAGTGTAGTACAGTCTCCGCACAAAGGACCATATAAATTTGATGGCCCTGGTAAAAAGTTTACCAAAATCTGTAAGAGCTATAAGGAACAATGGAATTCCAATAATAGAATAGACTATAGTTAATACCCTTCCCGTTGTCGTAGTGGGATAGATATGTCCATAACCTAAAAATAAAATGACAGTATTGGTAAATGTACATATTAGTTCATATGAACTACAATTTTTAAATATTGGGTTCTATTTTTTGTTCTTATCTAAGGCAAATTTGTTTTGCTTATAAAAAATTAAAAAGGAGTTGTATACTTTGAAGTAATATGCTTTTTCTTACTACCTCGACTGAAAATACGTTGTTTCGTCCCCGATTTCACGGCAGAAAGTTTACGTTTCTTGCATTGGTCAAGCTATACGCGCACACTCTATAATAGCGGGAGTAAAAATTTTTTAGTCGTGTGTTCAACATATGCAACTCTGATTACGACCGAATATAACCTCAAAATTTGTTTTTAATTATTATTTTCAGTCGAGGTAGTAAGAAAAATAGTATACACTACATGGGCAGAAAGTGTGAGAGCCCTGCACTGCGCGCCATGATGCCCGAGGCGAAGCCGAGGGCATCATGGCGCGCAGTGCAGGAATCTCACACTTTCTGCCCTTGTAGTGTAATATACTATTTCTATCAATTTAGACTAATTAACTGCAACAGTGTTGCAGTAAATTAGTTTAAATTTATAGAAAAAGCATATTGTTGTTGCAGCAACATCATCATGCTCTAAATCTAAGAAGGATGGAATAAAAACAAATTAAACAAGGTATCTAGCGGATAGATGAAGTTAACACGGTTGACAAATGCATTTTCTGACAGTGTTTGTAAAATTTTCAAAAAAAATCATTAACTTTTTAAAAAAGTGATTTTTTATACAAAATTTAAAGTTTTTTTTATAAAATCGTAAAGTTATCTCCTTTACTGGGACTGTTTAAAAAAAAAATATTATAAATTTCCGACACTTGCAAGGGTCCACTTCATGAAGCCTTATAAGGGATATACCCAATGGGTATTACCCATATACCAAAACTTAAATCTAAAACCGTTAAAATCTTATTGCTTTCGCTTTATTCTTAAGTCTTACCAATTGTAGTTACCACTGTAATACAATAAACTACAGCATTTAAAAAGCTCCAAGACCTTTGACCGCTATAACTAGTCATTCCAGCTTCGTGTGCTACATGAAGCTCATCCTCAAAGCCTCTAAGCTTCATCCGGGCTAAAGACTTCCAATCTTCCTCCCTTAAATTGTGACTTTTAGCCCACAATTGATCGATAAAATCTCTCTTGACTCTCTTCACCCCGCATTTATAGAAGTTCTCGAAACTCCCTTCAGTAAATCTAAATATAAATCCTCCTAAACCGCAATAAATCATTATTATTAGTATTTCGCACATGCATTTGTTCCATAGCCTCCATATTCGATTATACTCATCTTTCATTTCAACTTTGTACGCCCTATAGTTTCTGTAGATCTCTGGTATTGTGAACATTTTTAGAATATGGAAGAGTTCTCTGAATTTGAGTGTGGGTTTTATAAAAGCTTTTCTGGATACTACCTTGGATGTTTTAGGATCCAAAACTTCAACTATTTTTGAAGAAAATTCTCTTTGCTGCTTTCTTTGCCGCACGAATTCTTGTACCTCAGGTCTAAATTGTTTTGGTTCCGGTGGCACCTCCGGAGTAACAGATCTATAACTAGCATCATCAGAGTATTTTCGGTATTTGGGAACATTTTCGGCGCTCAATAGTTGCGCCTTACGAAAACTTTCAACAAGTTCTTCTTCAGTAATTTGGTTGGGGGCGGACTGAGATCGCTTGACTCTTTCTTTATCCTTTCTGAATCTGTCTCGTCCGCGTATAGCCGCGTTCGTTATGCTTTTTCTAGTTTTGTTTATAAACGATAGTATTTCGGTTTGAGCTATATCAGTTATGCTGCCTCGTTTCTTGGCGTCCTCTTGGTAGTTTTTCGGGATACTGTAGCTTTTCTGGACAGTCTTTCCGTTGGCTGTGAGATAACTGGGGTCTATTATCGAAATACCATGCATTTCCGATTCCGATTCGCTATGCGCTCTTCGCTTATCAGCAGATCTAGTAAGCGTTCTTTTTCTTCGTTCGGGCGTTTTCGGTCGCGGTTTGGGCACTTCATCGTCCGACGTCGTGTTTTTGTCGTCCACGATTCTAGCCGGCGTCGGTTCCCGTCTGCCTGCACTTGTACTTCGTTTTTTCGTGAATTTTCTGCGTTTTCTTGCCACATTATCACTAAGCACTTGTTCTTGAGTCACCATGGAAGCGATACGGGCATTGTTCATGAGTTCTTGTTCTTTTTGCACTGATTCGGCGTCGCTTACTTTTTCCGGAGATGTTTGCATCGAATCCATGGCTTTTAGACTAAGTTATTTTTAGTTTAGAGCCGTCCTTTGGCATCAAGTCTATTTTGTAAACGCGATGTGTAGTTTTTCCGATCGAACGTAGATGGAGTGGCAAAGTCATTTTATGAATTAGTTATTTTTGGAATACCACAAATATTCTATGAATTTTATTTATAAAACATTTTTAATGTAAGAAAGGTTTACTTTTAAGAAGAAAAAGTGATACAATTAATAAATAAATTAATTATGATTAAAATTTTGCGCCAGGAGGCAACAAAAACATTAAAGTTAGTTAGTTTACACTAACCAAAAAAATATATAATTTGTACCCTAGGTAAATAGGTAATAAATTTAAATTGAAACGATTTTTAATGCCGCCTTTAAAAAATACACAAGCCATGATTAAAAAAAAATATGGGCGGAATTTGATAAAAATATTTTTTTATCGAAAAAAAAATAATTATTTTAAGTTCAAAACGATTCATTTTAATGAGTTTTGTGCAAAAACGTTTTTGATTTACACTACAAACAAACCGTTGTCATAGCAACCTGGAATTTTTCCTTATTTATTTTTAAATATCCACTTAATTTTCAATTAATAATTCAGTAGGTACTTGTTACATTTTTACAACAACGTAAATGAAATATTATGTAGAAATATCGCCAGAAAATAGACACGAAAGCCTAGGGCTCCAGTGTCTAATGTCAAATATCAACAGGTTTAAGAAAAGATCTGGAGAATTATTTTTAATTTATCGATATCTAGCATATTCAATGCCCCAAGATTGCCTCAACAATAAACATAATTGTGAAAATATTGCAATTTATTCTCACTGGTAATACCAAAAGAGGTTAAATTATTTCGGAAATTGTTTCGAGCTCATGAATATTTTAAAAATTATTAAGTCGAGGAATAATTTTCTAAAAATATTCATGAGCTCGAAAGAATTTCAGGATTTAATTTAACCTCGCGCGGTATCCGGTAAGAAAATACCACACCAAATTGTGTTTAAAATAAAATCATTGTTAATAAGTAGTATATTATGTATCAAGTTTGATGAATGCCATTTTAAACACGAGTTTAATTTAGGCTTATGTAGTTGCACGGAAATACCATTTTAAGACTAAACATAGTACATTCTTTAAATAAAATAAAGAAACTAAAACTAATATTGTAAAAAAATTATTCTGTGCTTATGTCAAAAAAATTTCCGATATAATTCGTTGTTGGTTACCTACCCAAGCGAAAAAAAATTCCACAAAAAATACATGTGTTGTCATGACCTGTTAAAAAACCCATTTTGATTCGTTAAAAAGTATTCCCTAGTAGCAATTCCGGAAAAGTCTTGGCCCAGCATGGGTCAAGATACTTTGGACAGATTTTTGCTTAAGAATTGTACAAGAATTGTTCCAGATTCTTGGCCAAGATTATTGGGCAAGACTTGAGCCAGACTGTGGCCAGAATTTGACAAGAATTTGACCAGAAATCTGAGGCCATCTATTGCTAAACTTTGGGACTATCCTATAGAGTAGAGGTTCTCATTCTACAGTAGTATCATTCACAATAATGTATACTAGTCGAGAAGTGAGTTCTCTGTAGGAAATGAGTATAGTTTTTTTGTTTATGTGAAAATACGAATAAGAGCTTATTGGATTCGTCTTCTAGCTGAGAAAAAATTGATTTTTTGAAAAATAAAAATTGTTATTTCTAAAAATCAAAAATTAAAAAAAAAAGTGTCTGTCAGCTCTGACGCATAACTAGAGTTTACTCTTTATGAACATGAAAGATTATAAAATACATGTTTATTTTTACGGGCACCTGGTTTTTTTTTAACATAGAAAATTAAAAACTTTAACTCTTTCAAAATTTGTTTCGTTTTTAATTCTATTGTTTACCAGATTTATGGATAAAAACCGAATTTACTGGAAAGAAATCGTAGAAAATTAATGTTTTTAGTAACATTCTTAACTTTTGAAGTTCAACAAAATTTTGTATTGACCAAAAATCTTGAATTGAAAGTTCCTATTTAACGGGTAATCGATTGTCCAAGTCTGCCACCAGTCTGGATAAAGAATTTTGATCAAGAGTCTTGGTCAAGAATTGTCCAATTCTTTACAAAGTGCTTTTCCAAGTATCTTGACAAAGAATCTTGTCCAATTCCATTGCTACTAGGGTTTGTGTGGAATTTTCCCAGCAATAAGTAGATTGTTTTGATTGACTGAAATTGAAAGTTTCTAAAGTTTGTAGAAACGTCAAAAAATAATTGTGTTTAATCCTTTTGTAATATAAAGTTTATACAAATAAATATTCTTAAAACTTATTACTCAAATTGACCCAAAGCTTTAAATATTAAAGAAAAATTGTACCAATTACAACTTGTATTTAGAAATATTCCGCGACCAGTATTTTTAAATGATTTTAGGTTAATGAAAATTAATTAATCAAAAATTACACAGATTCCCATTTTCCATTTACTTTGATTATCGATAATGGCAATTACAATTTTATTTTATAAGTAAATTTAATTAACTTTAAAAATGGCAACCGTAAAGTTGAATTTTTTTTCAAAAACAAAATATTGGTGGTAATTAACTTTTTTGTTTAATGAAATGAAATGAAATTAAGTAATTTGTGCTTGACATTATGTAAAATATTCTTGGAGTTTTCTTCTCATATATTTTTTTATTTTTGTTTAAATTTATAATGTAGAATAACAAAATATTTTAAATGTTCAAACATTTTTGAGAAACAAAAACCAAAAAGTTTTAATATTTTTATTATACCCTCTTAAAAATTTAAAGCTAAATTTATACATTATTTAAAGAATTTTTGTTGTTAATTATAATTATATATAATTATATACCGGTTGTAATTGATCATGTAGTATTGGACTATATATATTAATGATTGTGTATTCAAAAAATGTTAATAACTCAGGTTTTTCTTGCATATAGTAAATAGTATATGTATAGCATATATGCTATACATATACTATTTACTATATGCAAGAAAAACCTGAGTTATTAACATTTTTTGAATACACAATCATTAATATGCAAAAATGTCTAAAAAGATTGAATTTTTGTTAAATTTTTTTAAAAATTTAAGTTTATATAGGTAGATTCCCATGCTTAGCTTCTTTTTTGGAGCTGTATAGTACAGTGTATACCTATAGGGTAAGTCATTTAACTTGAAAGTTTGAAATATCTCAGTTAGTATGCATTTTACAAAAAAATGTTTAAAATAAAAATTAAATGATTCGAGGGGGGAAATCAATCAGTACTAAAATTGGACCTCATACTCTACTCCTTATAGGGGGAAGAGGGGGTAACTTTAAAAGTTCCAATGGAACACCTTATTTTTTATTGCAGATTCGGATCATTCAACTAAATCATTTTTTGATATTTGTAATAGTTGGCGCTGTAATGAAAAAAATCAATTTTGTTCGATTTTTCTTTTGTATACGATTCTCCAATAATTTTTGAATAAAATACTTTTTTAAATTTTATTTAAAGTAGGTGCTCAAAATAACAATATTAAATATTTGCTCGACGAACTCTTTTTTCGGTTGAACACTCCCGTTTGTAGTAAACTGCTTGACTGTACGGTGAAATGAAGTACGTGATCGAATTTTTTCCGGAAATCGGTGAGCGTAGATATTAACAACACCATCAAGATTCCTGCCTGCTTCTCCATAAATCAAAATCATTTCTATTTTTTCTTCTACTCTTAAAAAATCCATTATGAATATAACTTCTTAAAGAAAGAAGGTATTTTTGTTTGCAAATTAATCTTCCAACTAAATTGATTAAATAATGATAAACTATGTATAAATAGTTTCTTTATACCTCAATAAGGATTAAATTAATTACTTGACAAAATAATGTTTTTTTTTACCTTAAATTAGGTATTTTTATTAAAACTAGTACAATAATCCTTTAAATTAAAGGATTTAATTTGACCATGATGCGCAATTGATAATTATCACCGAATGAAATAATGTATAAAACTTAAACCAAAGGAAACTTAAATATTAGTTCAAAAATCGGGGGTACTTAAAAATCAGATTTAATTTAATATGATAATTATTACCAAAAAAGTGATATTTTTATAGAAAAATTATTGCAGAATCGTATAAGAAGAAAAACCGAACAAAATTGATTTTTTTTCATTACAGCGCCGTCTATTACAAATATGAAAAAATGTTTTAGACAAATTTTATTATTATTATTTTTAGTTGAATGATCCGAATCTGCAATAAAAAATAGGGTGTTCCATTAGAAATTTTAAAGTTACCCCCTGTCCCCCCTATAAGGAGGAGAGTATGAGGACCGATTTTAGTACTGATCCCCCCTCGAATTATTTAACTTTTATCTTAAACGTTTTCTCGTAAAATACATATTAACTGAGATATTTTAAAGTTTCAAGTTAAATGACTCACCCTAACTTAATAGTGTTGGACATATATTTTTATATTTAATAATAATATTATTATTAAATATAAAAATGTATACATTTGGTTTTCCTTTTATAAAACTTAATTGGATATTTTTTTATAATATTTGTTGTACTCTTATATTTTTGAATATTTCAACATTTATTTTTAAGTTAAATTTAATTTTGTATTAATGTAATATAATAATATTTATTTATTTAATCATGATATATAAAATTCATAACCAATAAAAACAATGTTTATTATTTTTGGCACCTAGCAGACTTACAAGTTAATATACAGCTATCGATATATAGAAAATTATGTTTTATTTATTGGTCAGTAATACCACAAATCGTATATAAATATGATTTATTGAGCAGCAGCAAGGAAGCGTGAAAAATTAAACACTTTTATTTTACAGATAAAAATCATTTAATTTTATGTAGCGCATCCGCCCAAAATGTTAAAACTGGAAAGAATTAATTCATATTTATTATTTTTTATATGAGCTTTCAACTTTTAAATATTTGTATTAAATACAATCTTGTTTTTGAGTTCTGAATTACTGCA